ACCTAATACAATTCCAGAAATGACCGCCGACATGCCAAATGCCGCATATGAGGCCACATGTGCCCAGTCCACAGGATTAAGCATGCGCGAGAGTCGACTTGTGCGTCCCAAGAGCTATCCAGCATCCAAGCTAACACCGCCGAAGGACTCGAAGAAAGTTACACGTAGCGGTGCTGCTATTCCCACGATAGTCGAAGGAAGGCTACGAGATGCGACGCCACCGCTTGCAGTCGAGGAAAAGTTTGAGCTCCAGACGCCAAGCATGAAATCGAATGTGGAAACTTCTTCTTCAAGTGATATTAAGGCGAATACCATCAAGAAAATTATTAAGGTTTCTAAGAAGTCTAAGCTAGCACAGCCACTGCCAGTCACACCTACTACACCAACAACAACCACAACAACATCAACAACGACCACGCCTGTTGAAACTTCCAAGGAGTCCAGTCCCGCAATAAAAGAAAAATCACCCGAAAAGAAGCCAAGTAAAGGGTTGCTCTACGCTATAGGACAGAAATTTGAAAAACTACGTGACTCAGCTATGAGCAAGGAAAAGAAAAGCGCCTCATCCAGCCCCGCCTCTTCAGCAAATGGCGCCGTCGTAAAGAAGAGATCTCCAGATAATGCCTCCCCAGAGAAGATAAAGGAAAAGTCCATGCTGCTTAAAAAGAAAAAATCTTTGGATGGCACAATCACAAAGACTGATAAATACGCTACATCGAGCAATGCAATTGAAAAAAATGCATCTCAAAAAGCGCTCAACACTGATGGCGAAATAAAGGAAAAACCAGCCAAGTCCGATAAGCGTTCTCGAATCGATTCGATGATTCGTTCATTGCGTGAACGTTCAGTACCAAGATCCCGACCTGCAACTGAGACGAATTATATAAAGCGGGCCATCAGCGTAGAGGAAATGCCAGGGACTTTTAATCGGAATGCTGTGAATCGAGTACTAGGGCTTTTTAAACGAACTGATAAGGACGCGGGTGGCGCTGACCGGCGTGTTCAGAGCACACGTTCAACAAGCAATATGGAACGTCAAATACGCGAATCATCACCTTCGCCCATCTACCAAAATACGACGGAGTGCCATCGTTCGAATAGCATTTCAGCTGCGATCGCTGCCAACTTACTGACCAACAATAGTGGTAGCGTCCGGAAATGCGACAACACTGCCAAATGTAGCTGCGAAATAGCAAAGACGCCTAGAGGAAACACCGAAGAGAAGCAGTGTGTCGAGTGTTTGCACGATACTGCAACAAGTCTGAAAACCAAGAGTCGTGGTGAAAAGGATATCGTTATGCCCCCGGTTAAAGAAGTAGCGCAGGGCAATAAAGACAAGCGCAAGGGTCTGATGCTGGACCTTACTAAATTGGATAAAATCGACAACAATTCCACAACAAATCGCAACAACTTGAAGGCAGCCTATATAAATGGCAATGGCATTTACTCAAATCTGCCGCCATACCCGGGTGCGGTGAACAGCTCTTCAAACAACAGCTCCAGTCTACAATCGATGGATAATGCCACAAATAATAACAATTCCTATATGACCAATAATAATTCATCGATGCAAACATCACAAACGTCAGGCTATCGCACGTCGTCTACGCACGAAATAAATCGAAATCATTTATTAACACCTTCCACTGAGAACATTGCCAATTACTCGTCCGACTCTCGCAGTTACCAGGATGACTGCGCATCAACGTCGACCTTCCTATCGCCCACTGAAGAACCTGAACTTTATTTCGACAATTGGTCCGTTTGCTCGGAGGATAATTATATGCTGCATGCCTCCCCATCGCCAACAGTGTCGCGCCTCTCGCGCGCATCTCAACTATCATCACCCACCCGTGGCGAGAGTTCCGATCCGAATGAAAGTGTAATTGATCGTATAAAGCGTCGCAGTTTCTATTGCCGCTTTAACGATAAGAAGCCCAAGCGCACGAGTAGTATTGTTGGACCGAGTGCAGTCCGTGACTATTATCGTGAACAANGGCCATAAGTGGCGTAAGTTTGGGTGCTGGTGTAGGTGCGGGCGCGAGCGCAAACTACTATAATACCTACAGCCCGAAAAGACGTTCCTCATATACATTCAATGGCACACTGCCAAGTGGTGCAACGCTCACTAATTCCACATTGGATGGTTATGCGACCGTTGGTCGTCGACCTATACGCACATACGACCATCGCACCATGTCACTGCTTGACCCAACGACCTCCTCCTCATCGACAGCTGGCGCTAGTAGTTATAGGCGCGAAGCGCGAACACCGGTCAGAGACTACACAACGGGCATTTCGAGGTAGGAGGGAAATTATTTGTTAAATACCTCATAAAATTGCATGCCCAACTGCTCTCATTTAGGGAGGTTTCTCATTTTATTTTTATTTTTCTAATGAAAAAAAAAAGTTAAAATTTTTGTACTTCTATCGATTTTCTTTGAATTATAGATCGAATTCGCGCTATCGTACCTCGTCGGCATCACGCAGCCCTACAAACATTTGATGTACAACACCGCAGAATGGTTTCTGTATCTTCTGCTATTACTCAAAACGAAATCGTACCAGCAGCACGCATACCGCCTCGTCGTCATCCTCGAAAACCAGTGGCGACAAGAAATTGCAGGAATGCACCAGTCGAATTAGAAATAAGTTTTAATTGTACTACAACAAAATAGCTTTCTACTTAAGATCAATAAATTTAGTAGTAAACTCATAAGATACATATTTATGTATAGATAAAAAGGGTGATTCACACTGTTGAATAATAGTCTAAAATGTGTGAAAATCTTAGAACGGTCGATTCAGGACTTTAGTCTTCTATGCAAAATTGTTCCAAGATCCAGGAGAAAAAAGGTTTGATCGTAATAAGGTTCACAAAGAAAAAAGTTTAATTTTTGGTCTCGGCGCAAACCAACTCACGGTTGAGGTTAAGTAAGCATCATTTTGGAGGGATTTTCGGATTAATGAGGCTTTTGTTCATGGAATAAAGAGATTAAGCTAATGGTTATGAGCACCTGAAGCGAAATTCCCCTTACAAGCTACATACACCCATAAGTTGCCTGAAAGGGTGCACCAATCAAGTTCATCTTCAAAAATCTTAACCATACTGATGCGCAGAGGGAGAAAAAAAATGGAATCGGCCAGCTCTTGCAAGCAAATTCTAGTTGTGTTCATCTCCTTTTAAAGCATAAATAGAGAATACAAGAAAAAGGCGTGGGTACCAGGAACTCATAAAATTTGATGCGTAAACATCCGTGTACGGCTTGGTAAAGCATTAGGCGATTTAGTTACAAACATAAATAGGTTAGGTTAGAAATTAAACAATAGCGATATTCTCGAAAGCTTGCAAAGCCAATGCACATACAGTGACGAGCAAAACTGTAACATGGTGTAGCGCTTTTTATATC